ATCTTCAAGATTAACTCGCCTACTCGTCATGATTTTTCTTGCGACGAACCGTCTGACCATTTCCAACAGTATTAGTAGCAGAGGCATTCTGAACAGATGATTAAACCAGAGACCAATTAAAATATTGGCTCAGGAGGTCACTTACCTGAAATGGCCTCACACTAGACATTTTCTAGTACTCTGTACCAAGGGACCTTTTCATATGGAACTTACTACGCATCAAATACACTTCTCGAATGATGCCGCCTATGCTAATACAAAAGATGCTCGAAATCTATGGACTACTGACCGTTTCAATACCTATTTTCACCCAATACAACGAGTATTCCCAGCAGAATTAATCTATATCCCCTTTGAAAGTAACATGATGACCCGGATATGCATTGATATAGCCATACACGTTAGTTATATGACTGTGGATACTTTATTGTTACTCCAGATTGTATAAATGGGTCCTTTGTGGTTAGCAAACTAAAAACTGAAGGTCACTCTAAGTAATAAACTATTATATTACTAATCAGCAAACTATGCGAATGGGCTAACAACGTCGGTTGGTTATAACGCAAACTTTGAACAATGCGCGCTTTTGGTATTGATAATGGAACCTACCTATGTGATGAAAGATGGCAATCCATATCCGTCTCATGAATTTCAGCAACTTTCAGTAGGATTATGCACAATAATGACTTGATGTGTAAATTATTTAATACTAGATACTTTCAAAGGTTATGAATTTGACGGTGCTTGTAAACTGGTATCCCTCATGTTAAGCCTGTTAAATGAAGGCGACATTTACTATTACCTAAACTTTAACACCCTATGTACGCTGTAAAATAATATTTCCTCGTTCATTTCATAACTAGCAGTATCTTCGGCAGTTTTTTTTAAATTTTTTTTAATTGAGTTTAATGACATTCCATCTGTACCACTCAGGGCTCAAATCTTGTAGACATTTTGAGATGTATCAACGTGATGAAGCCTGTAAACTGGCTTCTCTCATGTTAAAATCCTTTTTTTAACATGAGAATAAAACATTTATTTATTTATTTATTCAAGAAAGGATGCATCGGCCAATCGGCTTCCCGAAAGCAGGCTTTCGCCAACTGGCGTCATTTCGCCTCTCTGATTCCAGCGGGGAATAATTTTGCTAGTATTTTTTGTGTATCGTTTGTGCTTTGAAGTTTGTTTAGCGGTTAGATTTGTTTTACGGGGTAGGGTTGCCAGCCGTATGCCCACCCTTCCCTCTTTACCCGGGCTTAGGACCGGCTAGTAACTAGTGAAATAGTTCACCTGGCGAGGTTGGATGGCTACTCGGTGCCTCGGATATAAGGCATGAGCATTTCCCCGAAAGTAGTGACTGCTTTCTGGAAAGTCGCCCTACCACCGGATAACAGGCTACCCAGGCGATGTCAAAAACATCGTAGTCGCCATTCGATTTTTTGAACTATTTCGTCTATCTTCAGAACGATGCGACACAATGCTAGCCTCCTGGAGCTTCACTGATGGTGTCTTTCACACGCTAGGATTTTTCCCACGCCTTTTTCGACGTAGTTCTTGTCGTAAGCTCAGATAAAGATGCTCACCGCAACCACTTGCGCTGGGATTTCATAAGTGTTTGCTGCCATCGTCAAGCTATGCAAACCTTAAGTGTCTCAGAAAGACTTGAGCACAATACAGTGTGGTCTTGGGACGTTGAGGAAGCGACTGAAAAACATTCGGCGAAAATTTCTCCCGAAGGAATTTTTGACAGTGTCGCGGAGGGTTCTGCACTTTCTAATTCACATTCGCCTTATCTTTACAGTCGTTCAGATTGGCCCGTGTCTTCTGTCAACTAGAAGTACGGGCGCCCAGTTTTTAATACATGGAGGATGAAGTATGCCGCCTGCGTTGAGCATTTCCCAGGTTTTTCAAAATGTATGATGCCGCGTTGTAATGCCGCTGCGGAGAACTTAACCTCTGTGTGAAGGCCGAGAGATTAGCGACAGAGGTTGTGATGAAGCCCCAATACAATTCAGACCAGAGCGAGTCCGGGAAACTTGACCGCTATGCTCCTGAACACCACAGGCTTGTGGACAACTTTGTAGCAGTCTAAAGAGGTTGCTGGTTGCCCCGGAGATGTAAACAGGGAACCCCGCAGTGGTCTTTACGGAAACCTCAAAAACCGATAATGAAAGGGTGAAAATGCGCGTGCAAACATGAAGCTGCTTTCTAAGTGAGCAAGGCGGTGTAGCCACCACTTCAACTTATGGAATATCAAAAACGTGGGGCGTAAGACAAATTCAGAACCTGTTTCAGGATTTTGTGACGGAATTTGAATGCATCATAGATTATACAGAGGTACACCAATTCAGTCAGATTGGTCGAGGGAGAGGCTCATCTTCCATTCTTTTACTACACCGCTAGCGCTTCTATGGCTGAGTCTTTATTTCCTTTACAGTTACATTTGGATTTCGTAGGCGAGCCACGAAAGGTGTTGTAGGGGTTTGATAAAAGCCGTACAGGAATAGGCTAAGGGACGCAGGGTTTCACTCTCTTAATTAGCATAGGTTACGTGATGGCTTGATGGCCGCCCATGGGTTACTAAGTAATTAAACTTAACATAAAAGTGAAGTTTTACTGGACGGTCACAGTGGTAATTTCCGTGGAAGCCCGAAGAAAATTGTCCATCAGTAAATCAGATCACGTGTGTCTTCATATTTCTCCTCTCTTCAAGTTTGTGGCCACTGGAAAGCATTATTGATAGAGGTTGCCACTGTTCCATTCGTCAACAGCTTCAAAAAGAGTTCGGACAGCTATGTACCAACATTTGGCCCGTACTCATCCGTTGGAGGCCGAAAAAAGACCGATTTCGTGTCATTCCGATGCAGTTGCCTCCGTGCTGATTCTCTTGTATTGCCACTATTAACGCAAACTCTGTTCACCCTTATGCCTCCCCACAGAACGTCTTACATTCAAATGATTGGTTCAAGTGGTTGTTGACGGAGTAGAAGAAGCTTTCGCTCAACTGCCTTCCACGTCTACAATCCGTGGATCACTACTTCCTATGGTTGCTAACCTGTACACAGGCAAAGAAGGAGGGACAGCGGTGGTTAAAACGTGAAAATTCAGTTAGTTCTGGGCAGATGCCAGCCACGTGTCATATAAGTATCCAGTTGGCAGGAAGAGTATTCCAGGTTCAACAAATCCTAGGGGATAAAAATCGTGTCTGACATCCACCCTGCTATGTTCCAGGCTTAGTTTGTGTGCGTGTTCCGTGAGATTAGCGCTACAGCCAAGATTCCACAAGTGACAGAGTGGGTGGCCAAGAGTGCTCAGAATGTTGTGGGTCATTATCATGTCCCCTATTAGCCTCCTGTATTCCATGGTGTTCAGATACAGCGCAACCAGCCGTTCTCTGTATGCTTTCGACTTAAGTCCTTGAAGAGACTTTGTCGAGCGCCTCTGGATACGTTCTAGGCTTAATTTGTCCTTCTGGAGAGAAGGGAGAAGACGATGGTCCTGAACTCCAGGTGAGGCCGTACGAAGCTGTTGAGAATTTGGTGGAAGCATCTCCGATCGAATTGTCCGAAAATCTGTCTAAGAGTTACTAACGCCAAGTTTCCGCGAAATGCGTTTGTGTCACAGTTGGCACAGGATTTTAAGTCTTGAGGGGCTAAAACTCTCAAGTGTCACTGGCCTATGTTTCTTCGGACTGCTTCACTGACCCCCTTTGAAGATTGGCGTTATGTGGCCCAACTTCCAAGAGTCGGTACTTTTCCACGACTTGGAGAATTCTTAAATAATTTACTTGAAGGTTTGGACAAGATTGAGGCTCCCTCTCGTAGTACCATCGGATGGACTTCATCTGGTTTCGTAGAGGTGTCTTTGGTGAGAAGCAGCAGTTTGCGCCGTACTAGCTCCACGCCTAGGTCGACGAATGAGATTCCCACTTGGTTAATGGGATATTCGCAGACTCCTGAGTAGGTGGACGATGACGAAAAGATTTGCAAATACTGGTCGGCGAAGAGCTCAGCCACTTCAGTGTCGCCGTTCGTGCCTAGCAGCTAAAAGACTCCCACTTTAGCCTGCCAAAATGAATCAGCGTGGCAAAAGAGACCTCATGGGTTAGAAACAAACGTGTTTGTAAGCCTGGCTTGGTCCCCCTGTTAATCGGCTCTCAATGCTTTCGTACGTACGTTGCCTGTCTGTTCGAGCTGTCCGTAAGTTTATTCGGTGCCAGTCCTTTTGTGTTCAGCCCAGGGGTGTCTCTTTAACGTAAGTGGATTGCCAGTGTGGTTCTTTATTACCTTAGGTAACTTGAAGCGCTTCGGTCTCGAAAGTAGCAGTTACCGTACCACGGTTAATACCATTTCCTCCGTTTCCGGTATCTCTACCATAACTCCAACCACTTCTTTCCCCCCTCCAGTTGTCTCCAGTTTCATCCTATTTATCTAGTTTCTCTATATCACTGCTTTAGTTCCCGCCTTTCCCAGATCTACCCGGAATCTCCCCATCGTTTATTTTCTCTCCCTCATTTTCTGTCTATTTCTTCTGAGCTACGTTTCCATTCGCCTTATCTTCTCTTCATGGCCAGTCCAGAAAACTATCTGGTGCAAGGCGTTTGAGGAAACTGTCAGCACCACAGTCCTAGAGTGGGTCATACGCTTCCCCAGAAATCAAACAAACACCCAACAACTCCCAAAGTCAATCAGAGTCAGTAGGCGGGTGAGTGGACTTACTGCGTCGGAGTCCACTATAGACCTGGAACCATCCCACAAGACCTAGAAGCTAACACGAGGGAATCAACTGATTTATACAAGCTCGTAAAACAGATTTCGAGTCCCTCTGTATTCCTTTTTTATCTGTTTATTTGCCCATCATTTTGACAGCCGCTAGACATTCTTCTTTCTCTTCAATAAGGTCATCTCTGCATCCTGATCCCCGATATTCATTCGATGATTGTGAGCGACTCAATGTCAACACAAAATTTGAGGATCTCAACCGTGCCATTGTTCTTCGAAATTATAAGGAAACGATTAAAATTGAGCGGCACCTCAAGGTTGCTGTTTTTGCCTTCAACTCGTTTTTAATAATTTAACTTTTATATATCGCATTAAAATTCAACGTGAAAGTCCCGAACATTTAACTCCACCCATCTGCTAATTCCGTCGGACTTAACGTTACCTACATGGATCTGTAAGCTGTGTCAGGTGTCCTTATAAGAAGGACATATGAGATGACTATTGGCTGGGGTTATTCAGTTCTTTCGAGTCAAAATAACTGTAGACCTGCTAAAAATCTCGTTCTATCTAAAGTAAATAACTTTTCCGGTATATGATAGTTAGGACGGAAAACTTCCACGTGAGTGGTATCTGTGTATACAGGCTTTTTTCATTCTCAGTAGTGCTAGCGGACCACATGATGAATTGAGTTTAACTCCTCTCTACCTAAATAAGATACACTTTCCCATGTTTTATAGACCTCGAGTGTATAAAGGTTGTGACCATTCAGGGTTCACAAAGTATAATCATTCTCATTAGCAGCACCATATCTTTACAAGATGTTTGTGTCCAAGGTTTTTGGATGCGTGAACTAGACTTACTGCTTTAGCACTAGGATACTTGATCACCCGCAACGTTCTCATCCCCAATTCAGTACCTTCAAGTCATTGGCAGTTCGCTTGGATGCACAGTACACAACTTTAGAGCCGGTTTTGGGGTTTTATGGTGGAGTTTGGATACATCCTCCAACATCCAACATCAATAGTGCGAGTAGAGGAAACTAGCGGTTTTTGAGCTGTCGCTTCTAGGTCTTGAGGCTTGGTTCTTTTTATTCTGTCGTACTCCTTCGATGGTCGCAGAAGTCTTTGCGTTTTCCTGCTTATAGCTTTGGAGGTAGTGTTTGTCTATTCGAAGGTGTTTTATTTGCAAAATGTAGCTTGGTTTGTTTAGGAGGGCAACGGAGCTGCTGATAAGACCAATCAACCGTTTGCGATTCCTGTTGTAAGCACCTGCAAGTAAGTGTTAAGCATTACTTAAGTAGTGATAGGAACGGTGAGTGGGGAATGAGAAAAAGAGAAGTGAAAAGTACTTTCAAAAAGATAAATGTGACTGGTAATAATACAGAGGAGAAATGCGTCTTACTTCAGATACTAGGGTTGGGGAATAGAAGGGGAAAACAAGGATGGAAGGGCTTATCATAGGTTGCTACTAACAAATGTTCGTGGTAAGGCATTTGCGCTCACATACTCATTGAGTAGTCGTTTGAAGGAGTTGACTGATGTAGCTGTGGCCACTTCTTTTGGCAGTGCGTTCCATAAGGCACACACTCTATGGGAGAAGTTGTACCTCACTCTAGTCATTGCCCAATGGTGGGATATGCGAGTGGGATTCCCACGGGACTGTCGGCTTTGGACCGGTAATGTTGTCCTATTTGGGTAGTCCACTTGGTGAATGATCTTGTAGGCTGTTATCAGATCACCTCGTTTTCTTTGATAGTTTAGTGTGAACAAGTTGAGTTGTCTGAGGCGTTGCGCATATTTTTTGCCTGTTAGTCTGACAACCAACCTTGTCGCTCTTCTTTGTACCTTCTTGAGAGAATTTGCGTCTCTCTTTAGTAGTGGGGGGGGGGGAGCTATCGTGTTGAACACCTCCAGGTGTGGTATAACGTAGGTCTTGAATACCATGAGGAATAACTCTGGGGTTAACAATCCAAGTTGCCTTCTTAGAAATTGCGTTAAAGCGTTCACCCTTGCTGCCGCTCCCTTATAAATACCAGTAGTATCCAGTGTGTCAGAAGAGTTTAGTCCTAGGTCCTTCTCTGTGGATACCTTAGTGATTGCACGCTTGCTAAGAGTGTAGTTGATTTACATTGCCTTTGGTGTGCGAAGATACATCACCCTGCACTTCTCCAGATTAAAACTTAAACCGTTTGCAGCTGACCAGGACTCCAGCTGCAACAGGTAGTTTTTGGAGTATCCTAGGATCCTCATCGTCGCCTATCGTCCTCCACATTTTGATGTCGTCGGCGAATAGAAGGATAGAGATTTTAGTTGGGAGGTCGTTTTTGAATAGTAAAAATAGGAGTGGTCCAAGGATTACTCCTTGAGAAACTCCTGTTCTTGCCTTCCTCCAGGTTGATCGAATTCTGTTTACTTTAGTACAGAATTCTCTATCCTCTAGGTATGCTGTAAGCCATGCTAAGAGTGGTTCAGTGATACCCACATTTACTAGTTTGGCGAGCATAATGTAGTGTGGGACGCTTTTAAAAGCTTTGGCCAAGTTCAAGAAGATAACGTGAACTGGTTGTTTGTTGTCCCATCTAGTGGTCCAGTCATCCCAAGCGGTCATCAAGTTTGCGGCACGTGACCGCCCGGTTCTGAAGCCATGCTGTGTGGGATGGACGATGTTTTATTCTGTTAAGGTAGTCTCAAACAACATCTGTAACCAGGCTTTCCAGTACTTTGGAAAGTATGGGGAGTAATGCTACTGGTCTGTAGTTACACGGGTTCTTTCGGTCTCCTCCCTCGAAGATTGGCGAGAGGATGGCACGTTTCCATTCTTTTGGGAGTTGACTTACTTCCAGAGAGTGCATGAACAGGTTGCATGTGGTATGCCTAATGCTTTGGCACATTTGCGTAGGACAACCGGTTTAATGTCGTCAGAGTCCGGAGATTCCCCTATTCTCAGTGTTGAAAGTTTCGCAAACACTTGGTTTGACGAAATCACCACGTTCATCAGCTTTGTATCGCAGGCCTGGGACTTCGTTACATTGCTAGATGTTGATAGTGGATGCATTACTGGTTTGAGTTGCTCGTCAAACCGACTGCTCAACAGTTCCTCTATCTCACTGTTGTTCAAGAGTTCTCCGGTGGGCCCTGTGATCAGGTTTAAGCCGTTATTCGTCGATTTGCGTTGTGACATAAACCTATACAGAATTTTCGGATTGCAGCTTAACTGTTTAGCCAGGTTGCTCTAGTATGTACTTGTCATTACGAATTCTCATACTAAACAAGTTGAGTAACGTCTTGTAGCTATGACTGTCTGGTTCTTTGCGTGATGTACGCCACCGGTACCATGCCTTCTTTTTCCGCTCTATTTGCCTTTGGGTTGCGCGAGTCACCCAAGACTATTTGAGAGGTGGCCGTCTGGTTAATTTTGGAGGCTAGTGCGCCGTTGCATCGGATTCTGCCTGCCAGTTCCTACTGGCGGTCCCTCCTATCTTCTAGTCTGGTAGTTCATGGTTTACTCTCACAGCATCGTATGGCACCTCCTATGCGGTCTTTCACACGTACCATGTCGTGAGAGCTTCTGTTAGTGATGCTATGCAGTCAAAGCGTACAGCTAGCAATCTCGGTGAGGAGATGCTCTGCAAGTGCGTAGGTCTAGGTAACCTACTTACGCTGCTGGCAGACAAATTCCCAAGTCCTATTTTTGCCGCTAACCACCTCCACTGCTCAACACCATGAAGGTAATTATCACACTTTGTGGATCCACCTACCAGTTTGGGTATTTCGTGCACCACCATGGTTGCAGCGTTGTGCAAATCACTAAGCGGGACTTCCTCTCTGGTGACCCAGGGTTTGTCTAGTTTCACCCTTATGGGGCAGGAACCTGCAATGTCTGGTCGGCGTGACAGCAGCAGTATGTTTGCCATCATTGCTGATACCCTAAGTGGTGGCGGCTTGTCTCGAGGTGCTCTACTTCCTCTGGAGAGCCGGCATAAGTTGGCTGCAATGGTTTCTATTCTCAACTTTCTGTGGTAGTCATCCCGTTTCTCCTTGTTGGACTTTTTTCTTTTTTCTAAAAGTGAGTCTGTTGGTGTAGGGACGTTGAACAGAATAGTGGAATCCGTTTTCTTGTCCTGTAAGTGTGGAATATCGGCTTAAAAGTCAGTTTTCGGTCTGCCCCTTACTCTATTCACTTTCGTCCATTCGTTGTCGAAGCAACCTATTTCCTCAGGTTGTTCAGTCCCTTTGAATCGTCTGGGTGGCGGTGATACAGGCAAGGACCTTTTTGGTGTCTCACTTGGAGTGGAAGCCAATTTCTTCCTATCTCTAGTTGTGGCATTTCTGCACACCTGTGGAGCTAGACCGCATTCTGAGGAAAGATTATTAGAGCTCGCTTTTTGTAACATTTTTGACTGAACCAGGTTTTCCAGTTAGCCAGTGCTGATAGCCGCTGATTTCTGACACTGGGCGTATATACCACATCCATTTACATGGGTACTTCCTCATAAAGCTGTAGTACTGCCCCGATAAACCATTATCACAGTTACAGTGTACCCATGTAAGACAGAAGTTGCATGCAAAGGCTTTCTGAGCCTCCAACACCGATTCTTTGCAAACACTACAGTCGTCAGAGGTTTGCTGTTTGTTGACGACTAAGTGGTTTGCTTTCTGTAGGATGATGTCAACGTAGTGCGTTTCCCCTATGCTTTATTTCCCACCAACCTTATGACTGCAGATGTGTTACTGTCACCCCGACTACGGGGTTTGCCGTTTTCAACAAATGTTGTGCCTGGTGTGACAGTGCTATGGGGATCTTATACGGTGATTGTGTTGCTGCACCGTCTTTTCGGCACAGACTGGATTCTGTCCACTTACAGACCTCGTTATGCGACTAAGGGCTTGCCATCTGGTATTTTGTACCATTATAGTTAAGTGATTTATTATACAAATAATGTAAATTAAAAGGAGAATAAAGCGTAAAGTAGATAGCTTACCAACAGAAACTTGGTACTCAGTCTCTCTCACTTTATCAGCAACTTTGACCGAATACTCCAAGTGCGTATGTAAAGACCAAGAGAGATACTTCTTGGCGAATGGTCCCCAACAAGAGCCAAAAGCTATAGCAGTCGAACGGTCCGGACGACTACGAATCACCAGCAGGAAGTATTTCCGAGTTGAGGAGGTAGTTGCGTTGTTGTACGTAGCATTTCTTGCGTCCATTTAATTAACTGAATCGCGTTCACTGTTACGATATGGTTGCCAACTGTTTTTCGGCGATAAATACCGTGGTATCGCCTCTAGATTGGATATGAACAAAGCAAGACGTTATT